TGCAAATTTATGCAAATGGCAACAGAATGCATTTTCCAACCCGTAAGGTATATAAGTTCTTGATCAGGACAATGTAAACTATGTAATCTGTAAACTCAGCATATCCCAAAAGAAGAAGCGGCTTATCATTTGTTTCAATATCTCCCTTCATTTTATGACATGGTGTCTGGAGCATCATATAAAAGGATAAATATATCTTTTTACTAGTATGAATCAGTAATCGGTATGTGGTAGTCGGGCACTCCCAACTCGAGCACTCCTACTTGATTCACATTATTTATTTCGCAGTTGCTTTTTGGCTGCCCACACTTATTCGCAGTGTCCAGCCACCCACGCATTTTGACCAAAATTGAATCATGAATCATTTTCCCTATTTTCTTGTGTATATTTATAAATGGGTAGCTCTTCCATATTTATTGATATAACAGCATCGACAAGTTTATAAATGTAGCTCGAATTTATATGCACAAATAAACGGAATTGTCTGCGCAAGGAATTCACATTTCCAGCAATCACAAATTCATTAAACATGAAAAAACCCTCCAGCAATTAGATGATGCAAAGAGAATTAAGCGGGTGAAGTAAGTATGTGATTGCAGCTAAAATACCCTATAAATTGTGTCAATTAATGCGGGGAAAATCACATAAGAAATTGTGTCCTGCAAATGGACATCAGTGTTAGCAACTGAGGAGAGTGCAGAGGTCAAGCAAAACGTATGACTGTAGTTCCTATACCCTGTAAATTATGGCAGAAAATGCCAACTTTGTATACGGTATATGAAATATATAATACTCTGCAAATTAGCTGAAAACTGCAGACATAAATAAAAAGCTGAATAAACAAAGATTAGAGAAAGTTGGTGTTTGCTGCTCTAATACCCTGTAATAGCAAAAATGGTAAATGCAAAGAATATGCAAAACAGCACCAATGAGGGGACGTAAAAAAAAATACAACATATAAGCTGAAAGAAAGTTTCTGATAGTTGCTGATATACCCTGTAAATTCGAAAAAAGTCATGGAAACTGGCTGAATCATACCAAAGACTGCTTCAGACCTAAACTTAACGACAACAAATAGCTAAGTTGTACTCATTTGTTGGCAGAACTTTACAAAACTGAAATTTCTAGTCACATTCTATTTACTAATTTTGGTGAAGTCTTATTCAAACCAACTATGCAGCTATCTCTTTTTGCCAAAAGTTTTTGTGCCAACAAGTTCTTTGGCTGCTTCCTTTAGCATAATTTAAGCACACATACAGACAGATTTAAGTACTGCTGGAGGCAACCTATGCTGCATAGAGTGGAAACTACTTGTGCCGTTGTCATGCTATATACTATACGGACACATCATAACGTATCCATAATCCCAGAGAAGACTTTAGACCCCCGAGCGTTATTCATTCAGCAATGCAAGTGTAAAACGGAACATGCAATGCCAATGCAAACAGCTGTGTGTGTGCGTGTGTGTGTGTGTGTGTGTGTGTGTTTGTGGATGAGTGTGTGTGAGTGTGCGTACTTGTGTGTGGCAATGGCCTCTGTGCGGTTGGACTTCATTTGCGTTGCTATTAGACTGCTTGTCTTTTGTTTAACGCTGCCAGCAACAGCTCCGCCTGCGTTTCCTGCCCCCTAGCAAACCCCTTTCCCGCTGCTACCCCTTTGCCAGTGTCTGACCAGCTGACAGGCTATTGTCAATCTGTGTTGATGAATTTATGTTGTGATTTTTCCGCAAATGCACTGCGCCTCCAAGTTGCTGCAATTGTTGTTGTAGATGTCCGTGATTGTGCTGTTGTTGTTGCTATTGCTTGTGATGTTGTTGTTGTTGCATGGTGTTGTTGTTGCTGTTGCTGCAGTTGTTGTTGCTGATGACGTTGCTGTTGATGCTGTTGTTGTTGCTGTTGCTGCTGTCTTCGCTGATGTTGCTGTTGTTGTTGGTGTTCCTGATGACGCTGCTTTTGCTATTGTTGCTGATGTTGTTGCTACTGCACTTGACATTGCTGCTGTTGTTGTTGTTGTTGCTGTTGTTGTTACTGCCCTTGTTGATGCTGCTCTTGCTGTTGCTGCACTCGTTCTTAGTGTTGCTGTTGTTGCTTCTGTATATGCTGTTGTTGTTGTTGCTTTTGTTGCTGTTTCTGATGCTCCTGCTGTCAATACTTTTGTTGTTGTCGCTGCTGTTGTTGTTTCTGCTACTTCGCTTGTAGCTGTCTTTGTTACTGTTTCAGTTTGTTGTTGCTGTTGCTGCTGATGTTGTTGTTGCTCCTGCTCTTGTTGCTGCTGTTGCTGCTGCAATTTATGACAGCATTGCCATATTATACTCATCAGCAAGATGTCAACGCGCCGCAAATGATGTCCGCCTTGCGCCAAGGCGCACTCGTCTCACATCATGGACTAGGTTATCTTTGTACAAATGCCACCCCCCCCCCCCCACCTCCTACCAGTCCTCCATTTACTACCCTCTTTCCACCTTTCATTTTTATATGCCATTTATTTGGCTGTCAAATGCGCATTTAAGAGCAATTCGCATTCGCATTGGCTGCTTTGTCTTTGGCCTCAAGTGTGACGCGTGCTGCATTGTCGCCACACACTCACACACACACATGAGTGCTTGCAACATGTGCGACTTTCTCACATTGTTAAGCTGGTATTTTATAGGCGTGGCTAATTGCGGCATCAATTTGGGCTGCATATTTGTAGTGGAATCGTTAGGCTGAAGCATGATTAATTACAACTGATGGATAGCCAATTGGCAGACGCGGATGGCATAACGAGCGCCACAAACAGGCATTATTAATGGACATCTATACACACACACACTCACACACACACACACAAATGCAAAGAGTTTAGCTAATTGCTGAAGAAGCTACAGCTACGGGTGATCCTTGCAGGGACAATAGCACAGTTAACTGTTAGACTCAAGTGCCAATAATAATGAATTAGCAAACAATTTCAAGCATTCGGCGCTTGGCAACAGCAATTAGCGAGGGCTGACACACAAATTTTATAATGAGAAATTCAAGAGAGAGTATTTTAACAGCTGTTGGCAATTATCTTTATCTATTTTAGAATTTATCTGCCGTAAAGATTCTATAGCTCTCCTGTGGAGAGACGCATAACATATCTGGCAAACGAAAAGTTAGCTATTTATTGGGCAACCCGCGCGCTTAGCTTGTGGCTAAGCCTCTGCCAAATACAAACTATTTCAGTCAGACAAATGGCGTTAGGCACATAATAACCAATTTCTCTAAATACGGCCATAATTATGAACGCCTAAACCCAAACACACGCCTGTTTGTGTGTGTGTGTGTGCGTGTGTGGGTGTGTATGTTGCTGCCTGCTTCATTTGCGCGTGCTTGTTCTCGCGCTGGCTGCTGGTCTCTGAGCTGTGTGTCGGGCTGGGGCAAGGATTTGTCGTAATTAGGCATGCATAAGCATATGCTGTCGTCTGCCGTCAAGGCAGCTGGCTGAACCGGAGCCGGAGCCACAGCCGGAGCCGTAGCTGAAGCCGTATCTTGTGCTGGCCTGGGCAAACACAGACGCAAACACAAACACAAATACACAAGCGCACAGCAGAGCGGCATGAAAGCCGCTACAAAGGACCCCGCCCTGTACATAATTAATTGTGCTTGTTGCTTAGACGCCTTGTTGTTATTGTTGTTGTTGCTGCTGCTCGATAGGCTCGCGTCAAGTAGACAACCAAAAACCGAACTCAACTCGAACTAAATGCTTTAGCTGGGGCGTCTGCTCCTTGACTGCCATAATTGATTGCTTTGCACGTCACAAGCCACATGAGGAGCAGCAGCAGCATCCTTCTGGTCAAGGACAGAGAGATTGGGAGAGCTCACAGGATATTTTTAAGCGCATATTTCTTTAATTAGTTGTACGCTGGCAGCGGCTCAGGCAATTAATTGGCTGCTGCCGCAAAACTAAAAGGAGCAGAGGACTCTCAAGCATATGGACCGCAAATAATATTGCACAAATGTTGCCAGCCACAACAAGCACACACACACACACACACACACACACACACACATATACATGCATTGGCATTTGGAAAATGTATTTTCTTAAATTAACATTAGCAGCCTTTGCAGTTGCCATTAAGACAAAAGCCCATTGGCTTGGCCGCAAGTGTGCGACTTGGCGACTGCCTTTTTTGTTTAATGGCCAACAACATGCGTAAATATGGCTCGCAGTTGTGTGTGCGTGCGCGTGTGTGTGTGTGTGCATGTGTGTTAGTGTGTTTGCTTTTGCGGCATTTCATTTGTGGCCACAGCTCGAGGCAAGGACATTTTCGACGGCTTCCTCTGTCAACAGTTGCTGCTGCAGCTTTGCCACTGCTGCTTCTTTAAATTATGAGCAACTTTTGTGGCCATTTTCTAGGCCTAAGCAAACTATAAAACATGACGGCCAGCCATTGGAGGGCAGCAAATTAGCCGAGGCCCGAAAATTGCGTATACGCACCATTAGACCCCGTCAGCGTCTGGCACCTGCTCATAACCCGTTCGCCCTGGCCGCAGCTCTTTGGTTATAAAACAAACGTCAAATGTGCTGTAATGGTGGACATTAACATTTAACCTTCAGGCACAAATTACCAACATTTTTGTCGCCCCCAAGTGACAAACACGCACACACACACACAGAGAGAGAGAGAGGGAGAGAGACACACGCATAGCCAGAAAACTTTGTTTGCCTCGCAGCGTAGAGTTCATCTTCGCATTGGGCTATAAAATGCCAGCGTGAAGCAGCAGCAGCAGCTGCTGCTGCTGCGTAACATGTACATATATGCGGCAAGATTTGGATGAGGTAGAAGTTATTGCCCCTGCTCCGGCTCCGGCTCCAGCTCCCGCTGCGCCGCATGCTCTCCAATGACGATGATGATGTTGATGACGCTGCCGTTAAGAGTTTGGCGGCAACTCATGACGTTTTCTTTTTTGCTGGCGGCTGACGACGCCTTCTGATAAATATGTAGCATGATTTTTAATAGCAATCGCCGAAAAAATGTTCATGTGTGTAGATTTATGACACACACATTTATAATGCCCCCGGAAAGTCGGCAGCTGAAAGCCAAAATCCGCACCAAATGAAAAGAAAGCAAGCGAACGACGCGGGAGGGTAGAAGCAGGCTTGGGCTGAGCCGCTCGAATGGAAATTGATTTTGAATATGGATGGCTTACACAGTTTATGATTGAATTTCAAAGATTTTAATGACAGTTCAATATAATGAATCAGTTTTCAATTTCATATCGGAATCCAATTTACTAAAATCATTTCTTTATTATTATTGTGGAAATTAAAGAATGTGTATATATTTTTCTTTAAGCTGCCGAATTGTTCTTGAATTGTAAGTATTTTCATATTTCAAAGCAATTTAAAACTTGTTTTGAATACTAGTTGCAGCCATTTCCCTTTTACAGATATGTGGGATTGCTGCTGGTCGAAATTGTTGAGTTTGTTGAAAATATCTTTGAAAACAGAATATTTTGCCATATGGTTAAAATTGAGAGTCTAGTTCGCATAGAAACAGACAGACGGACGGACGGACGGACAGGCGAATATATATACTTTTTTGGATCGGATGTGTCCCCTACTAAGTAGTATTAAATATTAAATCTATCTAATAATAATTTGTTTCTATACAGGGTCTCTGAAAACAGGTGTTCTAAATAGCTAAACAGGATAACTAGAAGGTTGCCATTTTTTCTGAAATATCCGCTGCTTCCTTCCGTCTTTCTGTCTTCTTCCTTCCTACCCACTTCTTAGGGAATATTTAATCTCTTTTAATTAATTAATTTCTTTAAACTGCAAACTTTAACTTCATTATTTTTATGTCTTTGAAAAGAGTTTATTGTAAATAAAAGAGGTAACTAATAGTTGAACTTTCTACTTATAGATCCTGCTACTTGTGCGTTTGTTATAGACTTCGTTATTGTTTATTTTTTTATTAATTTAATTTATTATTATATCCATTTTTTTTATATGATAATCGATTCCAAGTCTTAAGCCCATTTTGACATATTTTAGTTAAATAGGAATTTGAATTTAAAATTGAATATCGTCTTGATTTACACGTTTTAATTAAAAATTTAATAATTCATTCAAGAAGCAAATTAAATTCAGTTTAAGTGCCATTTTTATTGAAAATGCGCTTGTGTTTAATTTTATGGCCAAAATTGAATTGGAGATTCGTGCAATAAACATTTTTTCGCAATGCTTTTCACCTTTCACTTTTATAGTGCGTGGCGTTGCACTATAAATTTTCAGTGCTTAAGTTTTATTTATTTTCCTGCTTGTCGAATTCGATTTGCGATAACATTGAACACGAAGATTGACCGGCTTAGAAACGCCCCCCCGCCCTCCTCTATCTATCTTCCTCCCCCTTACAGTTTCCCAGCCCGGAACACAACATCATTTCACTTGGCACTTGTAAGGACCGCAACTTTTTAAGTGCTAGCTGCAACGCGCGCTGTCCTTGTTGTTGTTGTTGCAACTGCAACGCCCTGCTTTGCGGGGTAGGGGAAGGCGCTGAGTGGAGGGACTCACGCATTTTTATGGCGATGGCAAATACTTTTGCGAATTCAGCTGAATTTGCAGCAGTTCCGTTTCCCCTCGCCCGATATCTGAATGTTTTTTAGCATTTGGCATTTGAAAGTTTTCCTTCAGCTGACTTTGGATTGGGTCTCTGGTAATTCGGATTTGTATTTTGGCGCCGTTGTGTGCAGTGCGTAAATTGAGTCATTTCTGCTGCTCCAGTTAAGTTTTGATTGAGCATTTAAAGGCTGACGCGATTGGGTTTCGCACGCTGTGGCGCAATTGAGGACGTGGCTGCCACAATGCGTATCCATGGCAATTTCCTTGATGTTGCCAGGGCGTTGGCCAAACGTCTTCACTTGCCGCCAGTAAGCGGCTTATGCTTGTGACGATAAACTGAACGGGAGCGAGCGGGAGAGAGATGCGCTGAAGAAGCTCAACAATTTCAACATCCTGCTTCCGTTGCAATGTAATGGAAACCGCGCTGTGTGAGAACGTGCCACGCTGTGCGGCAGCATTACAGTTGGCAAATGGCAACACGACGCAATCGAACGACGAACTGCAGGCAAAAGTGTCGCAAACGGAAATCTAAGCAGAAATGAAAGTGACACACGGCCAGGGAGTGCTCGGAGTGGTAGGAGTTGCTTCGAATAGCAGCCAGCTAGCAGCTATCACAGCAGGATATCGACTGGTGCCTTGGCTGGCAACGCGCTCTTAGAATTCAGGTGGAAAAATGCCAGGGCATAAATCAAATCAGGCAACGACAGCGACAACGTTGCCATAGGCATCAGCCAGCATCAGCCTTCATTAGTGTTAAACGGCTAACAGAATGTGGTTACACATTCGGGCCAAAACAGGCAGCGGCTTCAACGATTCGCATGCTACATAATTGCAGAGCCGCGCGCCGTGCCGCATATCATTGTGGTGGCTTTTGATTAATTGCCCGCTGCGGCAAATGTGGCAATTATTTTAATTTTTATATATTTTTTCTCAGCCCGCTCGTGCACAATTTAAGATAAGCCAAAAATTGCGGCCGCATTTAACATTTATGCGCCATAATTCTGGCACGCCCCCCGCCTCCAGCGGCTGTCCAGTGCATATCGCGCGTGTCCCTCAGATATGGCTCCTGGCACGCATATATATCAACTTCCATATATTATGGAGTGCTTGGCATTTTCATAAAATCCTCATAAAAGGCGCTGATTATTGCATTAGTTTCGGCGCCGGCTGATTAATGCGAGCTGCCGTTAAGAGGCCGACAAGTGAAACGGTGCGTATGCTTAATATCTGGCTCGTTTAATTCTGCCGCCATCGTAATTCGCAACTCAAACTTAAATCACAAATCTCTGGCCAAGTTTTCAGAGTTGGCAATCAAATTGCCAAACCGACAAACACCCTGGCACCCGCGCAGCCACGCCCATGACTAACGCTCGCCTGCAGCTGTAGCTGCAAATGCAACGGAAAACTTCTTAAACAGTAAGAAAATATATTAATCTAGTGCCAGACTACAATATACCTCGTAAAGATTACAAGCTATATGGCAAACATTTTACGAATCACTTTTAGACCCGCAAAAAATTTGCATAAAATAAAGAAAACAATAGATTATAATATATCCCAAGAAAACTTAACGGATCCTTAAACAATTTGATCAATCATCAAATTAAAAATCTTCAGAGTTTTGAGCTTTAGTTGGAATTTTTCCAGTTCTGGTTTCTAAATATGATTTTATCAGCATTTTGTCTAGAATATGAATGGAAAAGTTAGATATATGAGATTTTAGACTTGAAAATGTGCGATTTTCATCGGGTTCAAGCATTTTCCGAATGTATCAAACTCTATATGGACAACATTTTCGTTGCTTATCGAGAATTTGCATGTTTTATAGAAACGGAAAGCTATCTCGCTGCCTTAACCACGCGCCGTCTTCTCACTTTTGCTTAACTTTGCTGAAAGCCCTCTATCTAGCAAGTTTTTTACCCTCTTTTTTCTTGTTGTTGTTGTTGTTGTTGCTAGTGGGGGGTACAGGGTATTGAAAAAGTTTGAAGCGTTTCGCTTTTATTTCTTGGCTAGCAAAGTTGTGCGCGGGCGTGTCTGTCAATTGGACAACTGGGCGAGTCGGCAAGTCAAATAGAAAGTTTCTCGTCAACATTACGCAAATTAGTTTGCCAGCCGAGCATCAAATGCAGGCGTAGACCTAATGACATTTATACCACAGCCAAGTTTTGGTTGGCCACCATGAGACGACTTTGGAGTTTGCGATAAGCTCAGCGATGAGTGAGCTCTTTGATAGCTACGTGGGAATCAGGACTGATCAAGGCAATGCAGCTGGAAAGCCGCATCACGCGTCTAAGTTGAATTTGAGCCGGCGACTTGCCGCTTGCTAGTACGACGCTTGATGCGACGTACTTGCAGAAACTTTTAACTTTGTTTCTCGACCATTTGTGGCCTTGATCTGCCAAGGAGCTCACTTACGAACCAAAATGAATCTTCAGAAGGAAGCAGCTCCGATCCCATACAGTATATGTATATATTCTGTCCGTCTGTCCGTCCGCCTGTCCGTACGCAAGGTTATCAGAAACAATAAGAGCTAGAGACTTGTAGCTTCCAGCTAGAACTTCTTACTTATTATGTATGTATAGATCACATATATAGATTTATGACAAGCCAAGGTTTGAAGCAACTCCTGGCTAAACCAGCTTCAAAGCCAAGCCCAAAGGCTGATAGACTTATTACTTAATCGAACCTAACTAGTTAAGAGTTGGGGTATTTTATATTTTTACTTACCCAGGTCCTGTTTGTGCTCGCATTTCCAGCTCCGTTTTAAGATTCTGTTCGAATTGATATGCATTAATGCCTGGGTACACCTGAAAAATCATGAAATCAAATATGCATTGAATTACATTGTGTACCCGGGGACAATTATATTATCCCTTTTTTTTTTTTTTTTGCTGTTGTAGAAACTTAACTCAATTTGCTGCCCATAAATTTGCTACCACAAGCTCCGAAGCCCCATCCGCTTCCCTCCTCCTTCGGCCCTTCACACTCTTAAAAACCAAAGCGGCCGCATTTTCCAGTCGACATTTTGTTGCTGTTTGTTGTGCAATTTTACTTGGGCTCTCGTTTATGCGCAAAAGTGCGTGTAATTCAATTTTTCATGCGCCAGGACTCAAGGGCTGCTTACACTTGTGTGTGGAAGAGAGAGAGAGGGGGGGTGGCATTGAAGACAAAGGACTCGCACAGAGCAAATATGCGTCAAAGGCATATTTTGGCCAGCAATTTCGATGGCATGTCCTTATTGATGAGCGATCCCTTTTTCAGTTATCCGTTAACCGTTAACGGTTATCAATATTTGATGGCGGGCCAAGCTTTTAAAACTTTTTCCACTTTTCGTTATTCAACATGAAATTCGTTAAGCGCCTTTTATTTATTATAGATGTGCACAATAATACACAAGAGACGCAGCCAAAAGTAACGCGCCACATGCTCAAATTGCATTTGCAGCTGTCTGTGTGCGTGTGTGTTTGTGTTTGTCTGTGTGTGCGAGTGTGTTCGAGAGAGAGAGTCGGGCAGTCCCATCTAATTTAGGGCTTAACGCTCGAGATCGCGATTGGTGGTACGTCGCCGTTTGGGCGCCACACTGCTGCTCCGCGGCCTTGGCGCCGACCTTAGGGCAGCTCGGAGACCCGGATTGACGCCCGTATTCTGTGCCACGCGCGTTGCATTGGCAACGGCAGCAGCTGCCGCAGCCGCCGCAGCAGCATTTCCGGCATCTGTGCTCCTGTTGCCGACTGTGGCCAAATTTCGCGCGTATCTGGCACTGGCACTGGACACCATCTGCTGGGAGCGCTGTGGCAAGAAGTAATCGGAGCCCAGACGGTCCAGCATGCTGCGCTCGATGGCCACCTCGAGACCAATGTCCTGGGCTAGCATGCCGTTGGACATCAGGTTGGATGTGGTGGCTGCTGCTGCTGCTGCTGCTGCCGTCGTCGACGACGACGAGGAGGAGGAGGCAGATGCCTGTACAGACAGTTCGCTCGAAGACTGGCTCTGTGCCTGACTTGTTGGACGCTGCGGCTGGGGTGCAAGTGTTGTGGCGGCGGACGAGCTGTTGCGCTCGGCAAGCAGGCGTCGCAGTTCGAGCAGCAAGGGTGCATTCAGATCGGTCAGATCCGCCAGCTCATCAACCTCATCGGGGTCCTCGTCCTCCACATCCAAATCTGCCGTGAAGCTCACGCACTCATCCTCGTCCACGTACATCGAGAAGTCCACAAAGTTCAGGATAATGGGCAGCATACCCAACCCCTCGCTACCGTCCAAGGGGCGTGCGCTATATTGGACATTGCACTCATAGCTGATCAAATCGTCGTAGGGCGAGCGGGCGAAGTTGATCAGCTCGTGCACAAAGTGATTCGTCTTGGGTCCCAGATAACCGGCCAGCGTGGCATTAAACTCCAAGCTCTTCATATTGATCTCCAAGATCAGCTCCAGCAGGACATCGAATACGGTCAGCAGCTCCGTCTGGGTGTTGCACAGCAGCACGGACAGCTCCCGATTGGCAAAGCTCAGCAGCCGATGCACCTCATCCGAATTGCGTCTGCGGAATTGTTAACAGATATATCTACCTAAATGGAGATATATATAAATATATGTATATGGCGGACTTCACCTGTACATCAGAGGCGTGCAGTCGCGAAAGCTGCGCGATTCGCGTTCCGGCAGCGAGTACAAGTTGTTGGAATAAACGTAGACGCGCCAATAGACCATATAGCGTGATCCCATTATGGAAATCGTCGGGAATTCTCACGGAAATTCGAAAGTCGCATGTGAAACAAATGAAAACAAGCAAAATATATCACAACAAATGACAACTAATGCATTCTCAAGATTCAATGCCAGTGTTTCATTCCGTTTCGTTCCAAGCGAACGCAACATAAACACTTGTCTCTTTGTATGTGTGTGGGGTGTGTGTGTGTGTGTGTAAAAAACGTAAAGTTCGCTCGGTTTTGCGAAAATTACAAATTTCTTTCACAGCATTGAATGCAACTGCAATGTCTTAATACTAGATTTTGTTTACCCGCTCACCAGAGACTCACCAAGTGTCAAACAGCTTTGTTTTTCTAGGCCGGCGCATCCAGGTTTACGCCTTTGGGAGACATGTCAATCGCTTTGTCGGGCCCCTTGGTACGTCACAATCAAAAGTGGAGGCGCTTGCACGACGTCAGTTCGATAACGATAACATTTGCATATATCGAAATATCGCAGCTTTTGTTACAATTTCAATTAGAATGGAACACTCAAATCAAATAATCTCTTACTGTACCTTAAACCGTTTTAAATAAGTAAATTAAATAGTTAGGGCCTATTTCATATTTTTATAGGAGCCGATCAGCTCGATCTTAACCTGATCGTTAGCATTCTTTCCCAAGAACTCTCATCTGATCTAGTTAGATGACATTTAGAACATTTAAATAAATAGTTTATAGTCGTAGAAATAATTGGCCTGACAAAGATTTTGATCAAGAACAGATTGCAGATATATATAGTACAGTTGTCAGCGCAGAAATTTAACAAGTACGTCTATAAAGGCAGCTCGATGATAACTGACAGAACTCGCGAGTTTTGGGCATTCAGATATTTGATTATATAGTAATACAATGCGTCGAGTTAAATGTTTACATGACAAAGGAAGTTTGTGTAAATGCCAAACGAATTTGCTGATATACTAAATAAATATCTTATATGCTTGCGTATCATGATTCTCATCAGATTCACATTAATATTATTTTTTATTAACTAAGTGCACATATTTTACACAAAATAAAATTCATGATATCCATTGGCAATAAATAGCTGAGAAATCGGTACAGAATAATGACATGCTTTATGCACATATATATGAATATATATATATATATATATATATATATATATATATATATATATATATATATATATATATATATATATATATATATATATATATATATATACACACATATATATATATATATATATATATATATATATATATATAAATATGTATATATATATAGACTGCTGGATCAAAAGAGCCTTTATCTCGCTTAATATTTATACATTTATTGCATTTAATTAACCAGCTACGTTTAGGCAAAAAAAATTAAATAAAACCTTTGGATATGCTTCAGCATTTAGCATATACACACATGAAGTTTGCTTTAACGTGGCTTTTTATGCAGTTATATAGTTTATAAACTAGGGCTTAAATCGAATACGATATACATATATATATACATATATATATGTATATAGTTATATACATGTATATATATATGTATATTTAAATGTATATGATTATCATATAATAACTTAACTAAGTACAAACATTTACAAATGAATTTCAATTTGGAGTTGATATTGCGCATGCGAGCAGATCAGCTTTTGTTATGGTTTCTACTTAGGGTGGGAAGAGAGGGGGGAGGTGGGGAGCCTAGCAGGAGGGGTTTAATTTGATAAATGAATTTATATTATACAATCAATGTGTATACTAGTTATTATAGACTTCTATTATATGTGTATATACAACTTAAGAGCTGAAGCTTAACCGCAGGTCCGAAAATACCATCCACATTGGACCTGACGGTTGCGCTTAGCATAGCAATTTGAGTGGTTAACATTAAAGACTAAATTTAATAATTTTTAGTTATAGTATAGTAGTCAACAAGTTTATGGGGGGCCACTCAATATGGAAGGGATGAGGTGAGCGTTTGGCCAATGGGGTTTAAAACGACGTGACACGAATAGTAAAAACAGCTAATAAAATACTATTAAAAAAAGAAAGAAAAAAAATAAACAGTTTGTGCTTAAGCAAGCGGCAAGGCGTCTTAGTAGGCATCCATTGCATCCTGATCCTGATCCGAGTCGCTGGCCTCAGTGTCAGGTGCTGGTGAGTCTTCGGCATCATCGGTCGCTTCATTGTCATCATTTTCCTCCTCCTCCTCATCCTCGTCTTCGTCTTCGATTTCGTTTTCGTTTTCGTCCTCCTCTTCCTCGTCGTCGCCGTGCTCGACTGCCTCATCTGGCTCTTCCTCCTCCTGCTCATGCTCATCATGCACATTGTCCTCATTGGCATCGACAGATTCGCCTTGGATGCTGCCACTTGCATCTCTGACCACATCAATTACATAGTCATCATTGCTGGCATCGGAGTAGATGCCCAGCTGTGCATCCTCATCATCATCGGCCTGGTGCGCGCTGCCGCTGGGCAACACATTGTGCAGGTGGTAGCTTATCGCATCCTCCACGTCCTGCGACTGCTCATTGAATAAACCGCTCCCAGCACCGCCCACACTCACGGTGGAAAGCTCAATCAGTGAGTTGGCTATATCATGCATGACGGACAGCGGCTGTGTCAGCGGCATATTGCCATCCGTATTGGTGAGCGTTAGGCTGAGGGCTGAGCAGCTGGACATGGTGTTGCCGTGGCTGGCCAAGGTGCTAGTCACGCTGTTGCTGTGGCTGCGACTGGACAGATTACTGTTGCTGTTGTGACTGTAGCTGTGACGGCGCTTTCTATCGCTGCTCTTCGGCGGCCCTGAAAGCTGTTGTGACTCGTCTGACTCCGCTTTCAGTTCACGCTTGGGCGGCTTTGTCTCCGCCTTGAGCGTGGCACGCAATTGGCTCAACAATAAGTTTTCCGTGCTGTCCTCGTCGCTGCTGTTGTTGTTGCTGCTGCTGCTCATCTTAATGTGGTTGCGTTTCTTTTTGATTTTATTGCCTGCTAAAGAAATAGTTTTGGTTTAGCTTTAAGCGTATGTACATATTTGATTGCTCACTCACCCGCAGGCGTCTCGCTGTTGTTCCCACTGCTCTCATCACAGCTGCTGCTGCTGCTCTTGCAGCTGCTCTCCAGGCGCAAATCCTGCGGCTCCACGACCACCTGCTTCTTGCGGCGTTTGCTCTTCAACCTGAGTGTCGGCTTGTTTTTGGCAGCACGCTTGCGAGCTTTGGTTTTGCGTACCGCGCGCCTTTTGCGTAGCGTTATCTTGACGTGGGAGTCATCACTGCTGCTGCTGCTGCTGCTACTGCTACTGCTGCTGCTATTGGTCCAGTTGGTGCCGCTACTGCTGCTGCTGCTGCTGCTTCTGACAGGCTGCGGTGGCAGGCTGCGATGTTGAGCGCGTGTCATGTGGCGTTTGGACAGACCGATGCGTGGATCCTGACGACGTGCCTCCTCCAGCACTGTCTTCCAGTGCTTGCCCGAGGTGGAGCATACCCCTGTGCTGGTGCTGGGGCCCATAAAGAGTTCACTGGATAAACCGCCAGCGGCAACAGCAGCAGCCACAGCGGCAGCATCAGCGGCAGCTTGCTCCCCGCTGTCGCCGGCTGTCGATTTGGGCGGCGTGCTGGGCTTCTGCTCGTCCACAAAGACCACATCAGAGTCACTATTCGAGTCCAGGCTGACCAGCTCCGGTGTACGCAAATGCGGCGGTTTGCGCTCCAGCACAAATACGCATTCGTCATCATCGCTGCTGTTGCTGCAGTCGCTGCTCTGGAGCTCAATGTGAGCGCTTATGGGCAGACTAGCGCCCGCTTGGCGGCGACCAGTCTGGCTGCTGCCATCATTGATGGCAGCCACTTCGGCATTGGCAGCAGCATCACCGTCATCAATTTCGATTACCTCGTTGGCGGGGCGACGCATGCTCAGGTTGATGGCAACCGTTTGGGAGCCCACATTTGAGGTGGTGGTGCGGCGTATAGAGATGCCCGGCAGTTCGCTCCCATCGGTGGCCATGGTGACGCTGAAGGAATGTGTTGCACTGGGATTGGTCACAATCACGCTAGTCGATGGCCGCGGCAAGCGGCTCCAATCACTGGACGATTCCGCAGCACTGCCATTTGGCTCGCTGCCATTGCCGCTGCCGCTGGCATCTGCCGGAACCGACACGCTACCCTCGTTGGTGGACACCAAGTCAAGCAGATCCACCTCGACTTCTTCGGCAACACGCGCCGAGTATTGCACGACACGATCATAGCCAATCATATCGTACGGCGAGCGGGCAAAGTTGAACAGCTCGTGTATGAAGTGATTGGTGCGCTCGCCCAGAAACGGGGAAAGGCGGCGCCGGAATGTGCGGGTCGGTATATTGATCATGGGCAGAATGTCATGCATCAGCTGCATCACCTCGCTCACATTCTGCGGCGAGTTCCGCAGCAGGCACACTATATCCCGATTGATCCATGGCATTAGGCGATGCATTTGTGCGGGATTATCTCTGCAAAAAAGATGGGTAAGTCATGGAGTAAAGTGGCATCTATGGCTGATAGACGGATTCGTACTCACCTGTAGAAGCGTGCGCTCCACTCGCGGAAATGTCCGGTGAGGCTATCGCTGACCGGCAACGCGTACAGCTTGCGGTCGTAGACATAGCGACGCCAGAGCTGGCTCAGAGAGCCGGAACCGCCGGCATCCTGATCGTGGCGATAGAAATTCAATAGCTCCATGCGATACGGCTCGAAGCGATTGAAGGGCGCATATATGCGCGAAGGCTGCGCCAAACCATCCTGCGACTCATCGGTGGCAGCTGCGTCGATGTCGTTGGTCATGACGCCCTGATGCTGGGGCAAGTAGCGTTGACGTCGTATGTTGACAATATGAAAGCTGAGCGCCGAATGCTCCGGCGTGCTGGACTGCACCGGATACCGATCGTAGTCGTCCAGGGTGCGCACATTGTGTATGATGGTTTTGAAGGGCTGCTTGCACAGCGGACACTCCGGCTTAATCTGCAGAACCAAGTATTGATTAACTATGCTAGATGTAGCAGAAACTTTCGGTATTGTTACGAACCTTGCTCCACTCGCACAAACACTTGAAGCAGAACTGATGCATGCACGAATCGGTGAAGCATTTACGCCTGCACCGGGACAGACAAATGGCACAGTTCGGTGGCGGCGAGGAGCGTGCAGCGGGCGTGTTGTGTCCGGTAACTGGGGAGCCATTATCCTGCTGTCGTTGCTGCAGCTGCTGCTGCTGCTGGTCGATGCTGACCTCGTCCTCGCCGCTCTCGCTGCCGCTCTCTGTGAGATCTGCAAACTGTATGGCAGCAGCTGGCAGTGTGCCGGCAGCAACGGCGCCGCCAGCTTCGACTGGTTCAACGATAACAGAGGCGGCGACATCCTCTATATAGGGATGCGCCTCCTCCATCAGCAGCGAATCGGCCATTCTTGCGTGTGACAATTTGGTGCTTGTTTATTAATTATATATGCGAGTTCTCCTGGAACTGGAAATGGACTGAGGCCTCAGATTCGCGACTCGCTTCGGGTTTTGGTGTCTCTACTCGCGTCGCCCCGTCTCACTCACACGCTCTCTCGTTCAGTTATCATCTGGTTTTGTTCGCAGTTGACTTACCAAAGACTGAACATGCATCTTTTTTTGCATGGTTTTTATTATATCAAATCGCGTATTGTCGATGTGCTGCACTAGCGTAGTTGATGGCCAGTTTTATGGGCTGCAAAATGCCGCTTGCAGTATGTTTATATTTTACAATTCTATTAATTTTTTTACAATTGAAGATGTCAGAAAATAATTTCCTGTATTCACTTAATAATGATTTCGTATGATTATGGGTAGCACTGGCAAGCGGCTGGGCAGCATTCTCGACTATCGATAATTGCCGTAGCTTCAGCGGACCAAAAAACCAGTAATATAACATTTGCATATATATTGCATAAGTGAACGAAATTATGATTCAGTTGTGAAAGAAAATACACATATTAATGTTATTCAATTGATTTTGCCCAACAAGCAACTAGCGCTGCAGGCATATACACATAAGCAGTATGTTTTTATTAATGGTGACCAGCGTATTGTGCTCAACGTAAGCGCACCGCAAGAGCAACATTGCGCGACTAATACAGCCAGGGTTATCGATAGTCTGCAAAAGGCAGACTGTCCACCGCTTGCGAAAATGTACTAAAAAATACATAGCGCGTTAAAATTGTTTGCATTTGGTGGCGTCGATTTTAATATTTCGTATTTGCAGTGCACTTTTCGGTGGATAAAACTATATTTATTGACAATTTGTGCAATCGCTAGTTGCCAAAAATGGACCGACGCAAAAAGCGCACATCTTCGGAGCAGTACCAAATGTACATCGAGCTCATGGAGAGCGACCCAATTTTTGCCAGTGGACGCGTGCCGCGCGATTATGATCTAAATTATTTGACCAGAAAATGGAAAGAGTTATCCGACAGGCTCAACAAATGCGGCTCCGGACCCACGCTAACAGCGGAGGAATGGCGCAAGGTGAGTTTTTCCAGCATTCACACGGCAGCCCTGTGGGTCTCTGTGTGTGCTCAATGAAGGGTATGTGGCGGGGAGGGAGGTTATGCGATTATTGGCGGCAAATGACGCGCACATTTGTTGCAGCGCCTAAACGACTGGAAGAACACGACGCGCTGCAAGTACAGACGTAGCCTGATGTCCAGCGAGAAGGACATATCCATGTCGTCACTGGAGACGCGAGCACTCAATTTGTTTGGCAAGGTGCCGGGCTCTGGGGAGACGCTAATGAACTTGAAATCGGAAAAGGATGATCAGGAGGACGACATGGAGGAATTGGGTCAACGCACGTCCGCATCGTTCCAAAAGGATCTGCAAGCGGCCGTCGAAGAGGCCATCAATGATGAGGACGAGGACGAAATGGTTGAGGAGCATGTGGATCAGGAGGATCTCACCGATGAGAACATGCACGAGGCAACCGGCGGCATCGATGGCCCCAATGTGGGTGGCACAACGGCCGTAAACACAAGTGGCGGCGGCTATCGCACCATTGTGGTGGACAACTCGACCTATGTAGAAGAGGAACAGGACCACCCCGAGCCGCCAGTAGAGCCCGTTAAGTTTGTATGCACGACCAATATACACTCGGCCGGCTCCAGCGGCGGCACCAAGCTGATCAACGGCGAGCTGCCAGTCAAGCGATTACGACGAGATCAGGTCATCTACGAAGGTGAGTGTACTTGAGTTCGCCAGAAGTTGTTGCTCTTGCTAATTTTTGCTTCAATCTGCATTTACAGTCAAGAATGCGCCGCGCTCCTATACGACCATACAGGCGGGCGGCTCACTGCCGACGCTGCACAACACAAAGATGCACCACGAACCACAAGGCACGACGCTAAGCGCCGCATTGAGCGGCCTGGATGCGCAGGAGATAGCGCATCAATTGAAGCGATTGGCGGACATTAACTACGAGACGCTGCAGTTCGAGATCGCGCGCTTTAAATTCAACAATCCTGGCTTCCACTACGAGCCGCCGCCATTATAGTCATCGCCCCAGGCAGAAACGCAAAGGAGCAGCCGCCCACAACAACAGCAACAACAACAGCAACGAGAGCGGGAGCGGGAGCAGCAGCAGCGGCAGCGGGAGCAACAGCTGCCGCAGGAGCGGGCAGTCGAGCCGAAGAAGAAGTAATAGTTATAGTTTTTATTGACACACAAACACACAGATGCTCTGCCAGTTCGAATTTGTACAATATTTACGTGAGCTGCAGACGTGAGACAGACGACAATTGAGCACTTCTGGATGGGGCATGATCGATGCCAGCCTATCATAACCTAAAGTAGCCAGTTTTTTAGTTTAAAATTTACGTAGTTCATATATTAATGCAAATCATTTTCTATATACAGTTTCAATTACGAGTACCATACACACATACACACACACACACACACACACGCATATATATTTGTATTGTAATGCTTAAAGGTACATACACATGTGAACATAGCCGAATCCTTGCTTGGCATTCGCTTTGTTCGCATTGCTACCTTTACTCTCAAGTGGAATCCATGTCAAATTGGACACATAATTTTAAACAAGTTGTATGTAAATGTAAAGAATAAAGTTTACCAATGATAAATACGCACCCACGTCTCGTCTCTGGCGCCAATTGTCTGTCCGACTTGGTCGTCGTCGCTTGCTCCACCTTTCGCTTGTTTTATTAGTTTTGTTTTCCATTTGCAGCGCGCATTCCTGTTTATTTATGAACGCCACGGATTTTTTCACTATGCCCAACACTGGCGAATCCATTAATCATCGACGGCGGCGACGTTGGCAAAGCATTTGGTGTTGGGTCACCTCGTCTGACCGCCAACTGGTGGGCGCACTTTATAACTGTTGAGCCCTTGGGGGGCGGGGGGGTGGGATGGGTCGACCAGCCCCACATGCGATGCGATGCGATGCGAAAATCATTTTAACTGTTATGCGGCCGGCCGATGCAACAAGTGCCGATGACGCGGCCGATAGCTGAGCACGGCGCGCGGCACAAAACGAGCCTGGCACGCCGCCGCTTAAGAAAATGACTTGGATGGCGACTGCGCCAATAGATCATTTGGACGCCGTGCGCTGCGAATCATAAATTACAATTGCCGCCAGTCGCAGTCGCAGTCCCAGTGCCAATGCCAGTCTCAGTCTCGGTCTAAGCCCGTCTCAGAGCCTTGCAGTCAACGTCAACGCATGCCAAACCGTTAGTTGACCATTTGGCTGCATGGGGCTTGGGCTTTGGACTGCAGTTCCGACTGCGGCAGTGCCTCGACGTTAACTGCTAACTGCACAACACGTCGTATGCTTAATCTGTTTTTGGTTTTGTGGCCCACTGCGCGTTGTGGGTGCCGCTTGCGCTTTGATGAAAGGCCTCCAAGCAAAGCTGATTAACGGGCGCACATACACACACACACACACACACACGCTGATAGATGATTGGAGATGGCATAGTCTGGTGCAGCCAGATGTCTTCTTTGCACATGGCCCCGGCTGGGGCATGGCAGGTCCATTAAATAGTTCGTGTTGCACTCGTTCCGCCGTTCCATCGACTGCGATTGGGTCTCTGGGACCGGCCTGTTGCACATGGATCAGGGCACACACATGACAGCGTGCAAAATCTGACCCTGAGGCGGGTGTTATAACAACCACAAGAACTTTAAGAACTCTGGCAAAAAATAACGAAGAATATTTTCTACAATATGTGAAGCACTCAAAATAAGCTATCGATGCGCTACTTGAAGTTGTTCAGGGCATATGGGTGCGAGTATTGTTGAGAAGCCGATTCAAGAAAAGTTAACAGCAAAAATTAAGTTCATTTAACTTTAATGCTTATCTACTACAAAGCAATTATTGTCTACTATGTGTGCAGAGGGTAGGGTAACCGACAGTCGATTAAAAAGCACTGCACATTAATTGAATTGCGACCAAACGAAACAGTGACAAAATGCAAGCAAAAGTAACTGTACTGTTAAGAAGCAACATCAAGACGGGGAAGAAGTCAAAACAAAACAAGCACAAAGTTAAAGATTCCGTTATCGGCACAGTGGGCGTAAATGCAATTGACTTTAATATGGCGTAATGGCTGTTTTAATTATACAATATAAAAGTAAAATTGTGTTTATATTAGAACTTAACTGCATAAAATTTATTCAAAAAACATTCGAATGTTATCTGGTCAAGAAAGTGTTTTTATTGTATGTGCATGTTGATTACGAGGTCTGCCAAAACGGCGGATTTCCTATTATTTAATCAATTCGATATTCCAGAAGGGTTTCAAAATATATATAAATGATACATGATGATGAGACACAAAATATATTTAAACCAAACATGGTTTGGTGGAATCCATAAATTTGGCTATTTGGATAACAACACTACAGTAGCCAATACTTTTGACCGTGACTGTAGATTTTTCAACCGAATATCTCTGTCTGCAGAATGTACACATGTATGTATATATGTAACTGTACTCTTTTCATTGAGCGACAAATATAACGCGAAGGAAGAACTCAAAACAAAAAGAAAACGCCAAAAGATGCCGTTGTTCTTATTGCGTCTTTACCTGCGTAACTGTTGCATTTAGTTGAATTGTGCGAACTGAACTGAACAGAACAGAACGTATTGTGCATGTCTATTAATATTGAACTTCGCTAATATTGGATTAATTACATTTGGAACCAGCACAAAAGGTTAGTTTTTTATTAATTTAGAAAAATGAATATAACTTGACCTTAGTAAAGGCATAAGAAGGCCAATGAAAGGCTCTGCGACAATTAGGGTGCTCAACTTAGGGACAGTGCGGTCTCGCACACAGTGTGTAGGGTATGCATGTGTATATGTGAATAGATATGTATGTATGTATCAATATCTCTGTGAGATGGCACTATACATACATACATACATACATATATTGTAGTTGTCAGCAAGAGGCATCGCTGGCGGCCCAATTGAAATCTCCACATGCAAGCATACATACACAAACATATTTATATACATGTGTGTGCATGTGTGCATGTATGTATATAAGATGTGCATATGCTTAAATGAATGTTTTATTAAACGCGTTGAGACTTTGGCGATTCATCTTCATTCGCTTCCATTGCCATTGGCTATTGGCTAGTCAGAGCCAGATCCAGAGACAGAGACAGAGACAGAAACAGGGCCACATATGCTGGGCAATACGTTGGCTCGAATCACAGCGCTTGGCTTTCAGTTACAGACCAAGTTAAGAGCATGTTTGGTTCCCTTGGCCTGGGCCAATGTTCTTTTCCGTTCTGGGCGCAAGAGTGCAAAGCGTTTTTATGCTAGCGATTATTACGCTTGATCCTAAAGCACCAAAGGGTCAATTGATGTTTGTGATGTTGCTGAATGTTGTTGCCGGCAACAACAACAACAACAACAACAAAAACAGCAACCACAAATAGGCAACAACATTTGCTGGCGTTGTTGCCCGCAATTTGCTTTGGAATTTTAAGCAGCGCGACGGTCGCATCGCCATTTACCATTTTACATTTTTACAATTTTACCAGCGTCGACGTCGACGTCGCAGTCGCAGTCGCAGTCGCTGCCGTCATCGTCATCATCATCCTCATAGACGAATATCATTTTGCAGATTTTGCTTTCGCCATGTATTCTACCTATTCGCAGTTGCCTTGTTTTTTGACCGAAAATTGCATTTCTTTTTGTCGCTTGCAGCGTTGAAGCGTCAGCAGCACTCAACGCTTCGCCTGATATTTTGTTTTGTTTTGTTTTCTGTTTTTCGTTTTCGTTTTTATATTTCTTTTACCCTTGCTGAAGATATTATAGGTTTTGTCACGCAGTTTGTAACGCTTTGGGAGTCCATGTAGTCGATGTGTTAAATCTAACTGTACAATAAGTTGTACTGTAAATTTCATATAGGCTTTATTAAAGCTGTTCCCACAATAATAGTAAAATTTAAAATAAAGCAAACGACCAGTAAAAATGAAATGTAGTAGATCATGATAACAGCTGTCGCATCGGCCCGATCAGACCGCTATATCATATAGACATGATGCGTCTATATACAATTTCATTGGTTTTGACAATATCTTGATCAATCTCTGTAATTATTATTTTTTTGTATGCATCTTGAATGTAAGCAAAATCTTTACCAAATCGGTTATCATCCATAATATGTGAATAATCGTCTATAAATGTTAATTCAATTCTATGAACAACTTTACATTAATAATACACACATGTGTGGAAAGTTTACTTCAAAGCTACTTCGCGTGAGGGTATTAAGTTGCCGGCGTGCCGGAAATAGAATTTCTTTCATACTATTTTTATGTCTAGTACTCAGACATTTGATATATCACTGCTGATATTCTTTCAACTACATTGCTTATCAACGATTTGGGCTCTTTAGTTTTTTTGTTGCTTTGGGGCGCTGTTGGACAGAAAATTGCTGTCAAAAATGTGCAAGTTGTTCTCATGCTCGTTTAATATAGAAATTATTTAAAGTTTTTTTTTTTTTTTTTTGGTTTTTTCGGGCCAATTGATGCTGGGAAAATGGCAAAGTCGTGAACGCTTTGTGCCCGGACTGCGTCAAGCATTTCATCTCGACGACTCTTACGACCATTTAATGACCTACATTCGGCGGAATGCAAATTAAAAAAAAAAAAAGAAAAAAGCTAAAGCTTACTTTCCTGTCCGCAAATATCATCTTTCAACTCGTAAACTGATGCCTCTCCCTCTCTCTGCTCGATTGCATAATTCTATAATTCTTTAATGCGGGTCTAGATTATTTGTTCTCTTTTATATTTGATGATATGATATGAGAGCAGCTTTTGTTGTCGACTACTATATAATTATATTAGCATGATCTATGTCATTAAGGTTCTATATAAATGTGTGTGTGTGTGTGTGTGTGTGTGTAGTACATGGATATCGCAATTAGTGCAACAGCAACAGGAACAGCAGCGTCTGCGGCAGCGGCAGTAAAAACAACTATCGACTGATGCGGCTAACAATATGGCCGGCGGGCGTTTATGGCCATGAGAGCGGAGGCAAACGACAGGCCATTATTGACGCCACTGGACATTGGACACGGTATGCTGGATGCGGGATGCTGGACATGGGACGCACGGAACACTAGCTGCCATCATCAGACCGGCCATTGTTGTTGTTGTTGTTGTTGTTGTTGTTGTTGACGTTGCATGCAGATTGTGCGGTACGCTAAACATGCAAAAATCGCCTAAGAGACAGCGAAAAGTACAAAATATTGAGCGCTGAAATGGTTCTAGCTATTTTGCCCATGACAGGGCGCCTGATGCAGCCCCTGCTTGGAGCTCTCCCTTGCCATCGACTGCAGGCCGCTGGCAGGCAGTCATAAACACGCACTAATTGCAGCCATGATTTGTTACACACTGCATTAATGGCGTTCGCAGGACCGCAGCAGCAGCGGCATCAGCAGCAGCAACCATTCAAACAGCAACTAAAATCAAAGCCTAATTGCCTATAAATGGCAGTTTTGCAGCAAAAACAACAACAACAACAACAATAACAGAGGCAAGGACAACAGCAACAACAAAGTGCACAAAATGTGGCGACATCAAACGTAAAGCTTTCAGCAAAGCGCCAACATCAAGCGCAGCAACAGCAACAGCAACAGCTAGCAACATGTTGGCGACACAGCAACAACAGCAACATTAACAGCAGCAGCAACAACAACAACATGTGCGTCTGCAACTTGCGACTTGCCAAGCGTTATGCCTTTTGATTTATAAACAAAACTTAGCAACAATGCTTTTGCTGCTGCTCCTGTTGCTGTTGCTGTTGCTGCTGCTGCTGCTGCTGGCTATGCAATTAGGCGCGAGATGAATGTCTGGCAGTTACAGGTGGGGTGGTCTTGTGTGTCGCCAGCATGTCCGACATATAATCGATCGATCGCCCGATATACAAATCATTTGCTTGATCTCTCACTTGCAGCAGCAGCAGCTCAGCAACAGCAGCAGCAACAGCAGCATAGATGTTGCTCGCGTGGTCAGCGCCAATTACTTAGAGCATATCAATTATTTTGACTGCAAAATAAAAACGCAGCAAATGAGCGAACTGGCCAAATGATACGCAGCAAGCTGATGCACAGCCCAAGGAGTTGCTGCTGCTGCTGTAATTGAACTGCGCGTATTGCAAATTATTATTTTGTGCATTTGCAATCGCATTGCAACTGCCTACTGGAAATGTGCAAGCCATGCCCCCTCGGTGCGTGCAGGGCCATACCGATCAACTTTAGACGCCCTCCGCTTCATCTGACCAGCTTGGGCTGCGTGTCTGTTCATATGTTTTCATTACTTTTGCCCATTATGCGTGTACGTGACGCACAATTTGAAATTGGCAGCTTATAAGCCGGATACCAGGCGACGACCAATGCGCACAATTGCAACATTGCCAGCACCGTGCGTCGTTCGTCGTCGTTGCAGTTGCAGTTGGTCCGCCCTTCCGCCCGCCCACTACCACTGCCACCGCCGCCTCCAACTGCAGCTCGTTCTTATGCTTTTGGGCCGTGTGGCTTGCGGCCATGTGCAGGCCAATCGAGCAGACCAGACCATACCAGACCAAGCCAGGCCGGGACGGGCCCGACCCGAACCCGACCGACCCGGCCGAGTGGCCCATCCAGGCGTCGCGTCCGACGTCTGTTTGTGGCTTTTGTTTGTTGTTCAAGTTTACAATTTTAATGCACTGCCACTTGACTGTTGACAGTGCAACACGCCGAGTCTCTCCCTCTCTCTCACTCTCTGCGTGTGTGTGTGTGTGTGTGTGTGTGTGTTTGCGCTGGGCTATTGATTTTATGCGCATTGCCCTGCAGTTGTCGTCGTCGCAGCTGCTTTTAACTCATTTCGCACATGCACTAAATGAATTTTCAACAGTTAAATCATTCGAAGAAACACTGTAAAATAAAACTGGTAGTAAAGAAACCGCTGAATCATGCAGCCTTTTAAGGTGAAGAATCCATTAAGGAACTGCATATCATATTTCATACAAGTATTTATATATTGAGAGCCAAGGTTTAATTATGAAATAACTGGAATTATTGTAATAAGCATGTCCTGCTTGGCAATGCAAACAGAATTGTTAATTAAGAATTAACAGCTCATTTGCACAGAATACTCGACTTAGAGATGCCCTGCATGACGATCTAAGTCGAAAAGAACTCTCCATATGAAAGCAAAGCAATCAAAATATGTAATTTAAAATATATTTGTTTGCACTCAACCTTAAATAACGTATAAGAGTGCTCTAGTTAAGCATGGTGGATTAAGATGCCATTTATCTTAGCGTATGTTTATGAAAATCGCATAGAAGGGCGACAATTCAAAAAGAGCTGTGAAGGAGCTAATGCGGGAAAAAGTGAGAGTGAATGAGGAAGAAAAAGAGAGAGACTGTTAGAGATCAGACAGAGGTAGGGAGAAATTAAGAGAGGGGAAAACTGGTAGAGAAATGAGAAAGGGAAGAATGAGACGGGGAGAAGGGGAGACGAGGTTAATAATCAAAACATATTAAGTTAAATAAAACGAAGATTTTCTTGGGCTTCTTACATATATAAGAAAACTATATGGTCTATCGACTGTTTTTGGGCTTGGGTTTTTATAGTTTGTACCTTGAACAATAACGTGAGAAGAAAAGAAGCAGAACTATCAACTATCAACTTAAGCAGAGCAAAGAAATG